AAACCCTATACCCCTAGACCCTAAACCCCGGTTGCCAGGTTGCCGCGCAGCCGCCCGAGCCGGGCTACAAGAAGGCCGGTGCAAAGCGACCCTGGAGCACCCCCCCATGACGCGATAATTCATAGGGTTTTCATAATCATATTTCATATCTTTATATTTTATACCATATTATTCATAGTCATATTACATATCTATATATTCTATACTATATTATAACTAGGTGTGTGTATATAGACATAAATAATAAATACATAAATAAATAGATAAATAAATAAATAAATAAATATATATATATATATGTACATATATATATATATATATATAAGAGTTAAACTGTTGTACAAATAGTATCGGGGAGTCGATAATCTGCTGTAAGGCAATGTAACGAATAGTATAGAAGGATCTGAGAAAATGACATGAAGAAGGTGCAGAGGTTTTGGAGACGCCCGTCGCGTGGATCCCGTTGCTTGCACAATGGGCCCTGCATCTCGGTTAAACTCCAATCCTGAACCCTAAACCCTAAACATTAAACAACCCTAAACCCTAAACCCGAAACATTAAACAACCCTAAACCCTAACCCTAAACCCTAAACATTAAACAACCCTAAACCCTAAACCCGAAACATTAAACAACCCTGAACCCTAAACCCAATAACTAAAACCCCCAAGCCCCAAAACTCCTGCACCCCCAACCGCTCCCGCCGACTCGCTCCTTTCGCCGCAACCCTAATCTAGAAGCCTAAATAACTACCAATGTTATTCCTTAGGGTTCCTGATTATGAGAATTCTTGAAAGGAGCCCAAAGCCCTATTCTATTTATCAAGGTCCTTACATTACACCTGAAGACCGTGAAGGTTCGAAAGCGGTGAGCTAAGATAGACCTTACATCAGTACCATCATTGTCCGCTTAGAGTCCCAATATTAATTTACATACGAATATCAACAACTAGATAAATAACTAAATACTAACTATATATATATATATACTCACATATATATATATATAAATACACACACACACACACACATTTCATACATACAGGTGTATGTAGACATATATATATATATATAACTATAGAATAAAATCATAACTTGAGAGCCCCGTTTCAGGCCCTCAAGCTCCCAACCCAAACTCGCAAACCCTCAACCCGGGTTTAGGGTTTAGGGTTTAGGGTTTAGGGGACTCTAATCACCTACAGTTTTACGGGTTCTACCTCCGAATTAAGGGGTAATGGCTGCTAAACTGTAGGTAAAGAGAGTTACAGGTATGCCCTAAGCCCTACCTATAGTCTCCATTGCTCTTTTTGGTTTAACCAGTTTGATATTCAGGATCCTAGAAGGTAACCCAAAAGGAACTACAAAACTACAAAGGACAATAGGTAAGCCCCAACTAAACCCTTTTCCAAACATTCAAGCCGTAAAGCCACAAGCGCCCAAGCGAGCACTAGCCCAAGAACCCTGTGACACACCACTTTTGTTCAGAGTTTGAGGGTTTAGGGTTTAGAGTTAGCGTTCTCGATGCCCTTGACTGGAAAGCAATATGGTAAGGTCTCCACCCCTAAATCCCCAATTCCGAGCTGCGAGAGGCTCTGGCCACTGGCAAGCGGTGGCTGCGGGGGCCGGCAGGGGAGGAGGGGAACGGGTTTGGGGTTTAGGGTTTAGGGTTTAGGGTTGGGGTTTCGGTTTCTGGCTTGGGGTTCAGGGTTCAGGGTTGACGGTTTTAGGGTAAGGGGGGAGGGGAGGGCGTTGACAGAGCCGGAATATATCTCAACTTATCTGAGGGATCCTTCCATACTTCATGTATGTTCCTTAATTAAGGGGCGTCGAAGGCTCTAGGTGGCTGAGGGTCCCTTTTTGAGGGTATGGTGCGCACATGGTTTAGGCTTTCGAGTGTGGATACCAGGGCTTGGGGTGTTCGATATCCGGGGCTTCAGGGATTAGGGTGACTCTTCTGAGTTGCGCTTTTTCGCTGGGGCTCGCAGTTGTCTTGAGTCGGTTCCCTAAACCCTAAACCCTAGACCCTAAACCCTTAACCCTTAACCCGAAACCCCAAACCCTAAACCCTAAACCGTTGCACTGGTGGGTGTAGAAATGTGGGTCTCGAAGATGAATGTGGTTCCTGTTGCAGAACTTCAAGTCGACAGAGACGGGAGAGCTAGGGTTTAGGGTTATGGGGTCTTTTTCTTGTTGTAATTCTGATTGCTGAACAAGCATTTAGGAAGCCCTTGCAAGAATCCCACACAACACACTGTAGAAACCCAAATCAAAATCTAATTGCAAAAACGTTTCGATACCAAGGAAACGAAGAAACGCTCCATGGCAAAACGCCGTATGAAACCCGTTTAAGCCCCTGGCGCCACTAGAAATGTAGGTTTCGGTTGCTGACCTGGCAAGTGTCTGGCAGACAGGAAAGCGATGCCCCGGGCGGAGAAGGCCAAGAAATGGTAGTAAGGGGAGCAGGGTCAGTAGGGTTTAGGGTTTAAGGTTTAGGGTTTAGGGGTTTAGGGTTTAGGGTTCAGGGTTTAGGGTTTTGGGGTTTAGGGTTTAGGGTTTAGGGTACATCCCCTAGGTTCTAGAATACGGGTTCGAACATAAGTAATTGGTTTTTGGGGGGTAGTTAGGGTTGAAAAGGGGGCCTTCTTTTAGAATGAAAACACAGCGCTTTGGCGGGGCTGTTGGAGTTTGAACCAAATATAAACAGAGGGGGATCCCCACGAATTTTCCCAACCTCCGTTTGGTGCTGTTGGGGGCAAGGGGCGCTGATCCCAAGTTCTTCTCAACTTCAGGAAGGATCACTGGCAGTACCCCCTAAAATCCACTCGGACCCCAAAACCTAAACCCTAACCCCCCCTGAAAACCCTAGACCCTAAACCCTAAACCCCTTAAAACCCCTTGGCCCTAAACCCTAAACCCCCTAAAATCCCTAGAACCCTAAACCCTCAAAGCCCTAGAACCCTAAACCCTAAACTCCCCGAAGACCCAAGACCTTGACCAATACTCTACCCTTTGGCAAGGAGATGCTCCCTAAACCCTTAACCCTAAACCGTAAACCCCTAAACCCTAAACCCCTAAACCCTAAACCAAGCCTGAGGCCTCAAGACAAGTACAAGGAGTACCGGTGTCAACCACGGAACCCCAGAAGGAGCGCTAGAGGC